ATCTATAAAAATGTTTTAAATTTATTTGTAGTATTATTACCATTTTTTACTTGTACCATTTCTTCAGCTAACAGCGAAAAATGTATTACATTATATATTATTAATTATTTAGCTATTTGTAATCAACAATTATTCATGCCAAACTAAACTAGCTAAAAAATTGATAAGTCAAGATGATTTAGAATTTGATTCTTTAATTTTATTAAATGGAAAACCTAAACTATTTCACAAGTTCAAGAGTTTTCTGCCAATTTCTGCTAAGACAACTTCACAATTAAGCTTAACTTGGTTGATTCCTCGCCTAATTAGCTGTGAGTTGGTAAATCTATAATTATGGAAATGCATTTTGCATTGGCTCAGTGATTCGTTAGATCGTTTGTAGCATTACAAATTTCATATAAAATTTCTGCTCGAGCGCTTGACGTTTATATTTACAAGCTGCAAAGAAAAACCCCTTTCAATTCATCATTTTAGGCGAACGTATATATGTATATGCACAATATATATGTATATATGAACTGCATAAAATTGTGCGAACAAGGCGATTTAATTTGATTGATTTAAATTTTGTGCCCACTCCAAATTGCTGTGCGAGATTCGCTGGAATAATAAAAACGCGTCACATTTGATTGCATTTCTGCTCTCGGTGTGTGTGAGTGTGTGTGTGTGTGTGAAATTGGGCTGACAATGTGCGCTGACCAAATAAAAAGTGAAAGAGCGAAAGCCATTCAACTGCGAACTGCCACACAGAAACGTAGACAAATGCCAATCACCCCCATTGATGCACCCCTTCTGATGTGAGTGTGTGTGTGTGTGTGTGGGTAGACGTGTTAGGGCTGAAAAGAATTGCACTTTACGCAATTTATGTGCAAATTTCTTCAATGACTTTAAAGCCAAGCGGCGCACTGCAACCCCCTGGCGATGCCCCGCTCAACCCCCAACTCCAGCCCCCACCCCCCGCCTTGCTGAATGCTATTATAATCGCGCGCTAATTGACTCTAATCGACTAGACCTGCACACACACACACACACACACACACAGTCAGAGGGGTTGTTATTTTATGGCATTTGAATGTTGGTTTGCGCACTCGAATGCCTCGACCTGGCCTAGATCTTAAGCCGTCTACTCTAGAGTCTAGGCATTCAGAGCAACTTAGCCTTAGTTTCGACCAAAATTACACTTAAGTACACTTCACATTCAAGTGTGTATCTATCTGTGTGTGTGTGTGTGTGTGTGTGTGTGTGTCTGTGTGTGATAAGTCCGTTCATTATCACGCATGCATTGCCCACAAATTAGTCTATTTAACAGCTCGAGGCGACATTTAAATAAGCCGAAAGGACGCACGAAAGGCGACAATTTGGCAACAATTGCCAGTTGAAAGTCCCACACACACACATGCATTGTACCCTGCTTACCACACACACAATAACAGACACACATATGACACCTTTTCAAGCAGTGTGCTAATACCTGCCTATGCACACCAGATAGAGAAAGAGACATGTGTGTGGAAAAATAATTATGCGCCTGATTTAACTCTAAATTGTTGCTAATTTGTCACAAATGGCACTGCAGTTCACACAATGAGAGAAAGAGAGAGAGAGAGAGAGAGAGAAAGAGATATGTGTGAAACGTGTGTATTTGTTTTTTATTCAAGTGTTTTCCACTTGAGTTTTGAGGTTGGTATTTTCTGCCTGTCTGTCTGCCTGTCTGCCTGTCTGGCGGTCTGTCCTTTGAAGGACACTGGCATTGGCAAAGCCACTTTGACATTTGCATTGCAGTCGAATGGAGCCGCAGTCAGCCAGAAAATCTGCTCAGCAAAATGGCCACGCTCATCGAATTATGAATTCATGTGTGTTGACAGCCAGCCCAATAAACACGCAGCTTGATTCGCGTAACGGCGAATATACCAGAATAACAGGACAGGCAGTCCTCTGTAAACAGTTGAAATTAACTGACTAATAATTACTCATTCCGAATTCCTAGCTGGTATACTCACAGCACACACATACTAAGATATATTTGTATCTATTTAACATACCGTGACTGTTTTTAGAATTTAGGAAAATGTCTACAACTATAATTCAATATCTACTTTTGTATCCCGATGATACTTTCGTGTCTTTTGTATACACAGTTTGCTTAACCGAATATCTTACATCTTTAAGATGTGTCTCATAGAGACTTTAGTATCTTCATTATATGCATACACTTTTTATTATTATTTATT